AAAACAAAACAAAACAAAACAAAACAAAAAAGAAAGAAATCTACGGCCCCCAAACAGCCAACTGGAGGAGAAAAAGAGAAATATAAAAAAGACAGAATGCAGCAGCAGCAATAGCAGCAGCAGCAGCAGCAGCAGCAGCAGCAACAGCAGCAGCAGGAGATAGAAAGAGCACCACAAAAGCACATGTACATACGTTCGTGCAAGAACTTTCTGCTGCTACTGGTGCTGCTGCTGCTGCTGCTGCTGCTGCTGCTCCTGCTGTTGCTGCTGCTGCTGCTGCAGCAGCAGCAGCAGCAGGGGTTGCTGCAGTGCGACGCAGCCAAAAAATCTGCAGCTGTTGCTGCTCTTTCTGCTGCTGCTGCTGCTGCTGCTGCTGCTGCTGCTTGTACATACAGCTATATTTGTTTCTTGTCTTCTGTTTGCTTGCCGCCGCTGCCGCTGCTGCTGCTGCTGCTGCTGCTGCTGCTGCTGCTGCTGCTGCTGCTGCTCATGAGCGCAGCAACAAATTTTTTTCTTGCTGCCTGATTGCCATCCCATATTAAATTTGTTTTATCGTAGCTGGCGCTGCAGATATAAAAACAAAAAAAAAATATAAATAAATAAATAAATATAAATAAATAAATATAAATAAATATAAATAAATAAATATATACATATGTGTGTGTGTGTGTGTGTCTTAGTTATTTCTTTTTCTGTGTCTTTCTATCTATCTTTCTCTGTCTCCTTTTGTTTATATCTGTCTCCTTTTTTGTCTCCTTTTGGGTTTGTTTTGTATGTCGCTATATAACTGCTGCAGCAGAAGCAGCAGCAAGCTGCTGCTGCTGCTGCTGCTGCTGCTGCTGCTGTAGCAGCAGCAGCAGCAGCAGCGGCAAATGAAATAAAACAAACAAAACATACAGAGACAAACAAACAAAACAAATAAATAAATACAAAAGACAGCAACAAAAAAGAGATAGATACAAATAAATAAAAAGAAAGACAAAGACAGAGAAAAAAATAAATAAATAAAAAAGGAGACGAAGCACAAACTACCAATGGCA